AGGCAATCCAGACTGGCTTCTGTATCAATTTCTATTGCTATTGAATTAATTAATTTTATTTTTAAAAAAATGTTATACAGAATTGGGAGCACAATGTTGCACATGAAATTTCCAACACAAAGTACCAAATTGCTCTAGTACCTAAGAAAAGGAAAGTGGATATTGAAGGATACATTTTTAAAATTTGGGGCCTGAGGAGGGTGAACCTCAGATCTCCAGTTGAGTAACTCTTGAGTCCACAGAGAAGTAGACAACATGTTTGTAACTTGCAGCACTAGGAATTTAAACAAGCATTACTGGGCCTATGTTTGCCTTATTAGATAAATTGTTAAACTTAAGTTAAAGGACAGGGAAATAATAGGTAATCAATGGAACAGAATTTAAAAAAATGGATAGCTTAGATTACAAGACCTTTGTGGAAGCAGAGGGAGATCCTGCACCTCAGCTTAGAGGAAGAAATATTCTCAGCCTATGTAAGCTTGCTGCTGGTTTCATAACCAACCCACCTTTTGTGAGGCAGTCATGGAATGTGATGAATTAAACTTAAGAGTTCAAAATTTTTCTCTCCGAATGCATGTACATTCTCTCTCTCTCTCTCTCTCTCTCTCTCTCCTTCCCCCACCCCTACCTCTTTCTCCCCACCTTTCCCTCCCTTCCTCTTTCTCTCCCTCCCTCCAGTATGGCCTGAAGCTGGTCCACTAGTTCTCAAGAAGTACTATGATGTAGTGGTTAAGAGTCTTTTTTCTAAGTAAAATGGCTGAGAGTCACATCCTAGATCTGTAAGCTGCTAAAGGATTTGGGGGGAAATTATCCAGTCTCTGAGCCTCAGTGTACTCCTCTGAAAAGTGCACATGACTAAAGAAAAAAAATCCCCAAGGGACTGCGCACAGTGCCCGGCTCCCGCATTGCTGTTTTGGAAGACTTGCCTACGAAGACGGAGCCCTATCTGCCTTCTCCGCTCTCCAACACCATCCCTTTTCCTTAGTTTTCTTATGGGAAATGTTTCCCTCATCTTTGCCTCCCGGGATCTTGTTGCAGGCCCAGCACAAAGCCTCTTGGCTCAGGGTCTGCATTTACCAGGCTGCGAGGAGGATTCCCCTGGAGGACCTAGTCAGAGACGCTAATGAGACCTCTGACTGTGAGCTCTACTGGCAGTTGGGGGAGAGCAGAAACACCTTGCACAACAATTAGCTTTTCACAGCCTTTAGCAGTTTGTAGTCATTAGCACCTAGGAAACACTGCAAATGACACTCAGGAAACAAATTCCTTTGAGAGTCAGAGCAGGGCTTCTGAGCAGCACCAGCCTCCAGGGAGCCAGGGGTCTTGGAGTGTGAGGTCCCTTGCTTCTGGCCACTTTAGCACATGGGATGTGTGACCCAAGTGCCTCTGTTCCTTCCCAGCATATCTTTGAAAATAGCAGTGAAACATATATCTTTCAGAAGGAAAATCCAGAAGATGTGGTATATAATAAAACAATTTTGAATTCCTTCACAGATCAAAAAACCTACCCTGGGTTGGAAAGACTGGTATGAATAATTTAAATGCAGACTGAATGGAACCACCATGCAGAGTAATTATTTAGCCCCAACCTGTTCATCACAATACTGCTCAATGGTGGAACCATCTGTAACTCTTAAATGTAGGGAATAGTTAAATAGTTGAGCTACACTCATTTAATGGAATATAACACAGCCTTTAAAAATAATACCCTGGAATTTACAGGTAGATTACATTCATTAAAAAGGTTAAAAAACAGTATTAACATATGATTTCACTTTTTGTGAAAGAAAAGAACAATAAACATCTTCTAAAATGTCAACAGCTGTTGTTCTTGGGTGCCGGGGGTGGATAGTTATAAATCTTCACTCTGTTTGATGCTATTTTCCTAAAATGACTATGTGTACATGTGTCATCCCTTTGAATTAAAAAGTAAGAGAGAAAAAGACATCAGAGGGAGAAAGTAACCCCTTTAAGTCTGGCTAAGTGGATTTACCATAAATGCAAAAATTTTAAGTAAATATTTTATTGATGTATAACTTGCTTCAGACAATAAGTATGCAGTTGGACTTTTCTTCTTTTTATTTCAAAAATTTGTATGTTGAGACAGTTTCACCTTTCACAACATACATAAATTCAGATGGAGAATGAGTCTGAAATGTAGTGATGGTTCTGCTTGTGGTTCTACAATGGCAAGTCTAGGTAGGGAGCGAGGGTAGTGGGAGGTCAGCTAAGAGGGGATCAGTGATCCGAGCTGGCAAACCGGAAGCTGAGGATGGTAACTCTGGAAGAAAGGTAGTGAATCACCACTTCACAGATACAGTGACAGAGACAGAGGAGTAACAGTGACTTGCATCCCACAACTACTAAGTGGAGAGGCTGAGATTTGTTCCCGAGTAATAAGGCTCCAGAATCAGTGCCTCATTAAGAAGAAAAATACAGCTGGGTCTGCCAGCAGGAGGCCAGGGCACCCCTAAGGGCCTGATGATCAGACAGTACGAGAGGGGTAAAATAATGTGAAGGGAGGGTAAGAAGCTTCATGTGTTGGGAAAGAACAATAGAAAAACCACTTCTTGGCAATTTGTACAAAAGGCACACCAGTGGGGGAATTAGTGACTCTAAGTTTGTGCCTTTGTGCACTTGCAGTTCATGGAGCTGAAAGGCACTCTCAAGGCTGATGGAGCGGGGATGCCAAGCACAAGAACCTGGGCCTTGTCCAGATGTCACAGTCAGCTGAGGAGGAGAATGGGGTCTCACTTGTGTTTTCTTTATCTTTGCTGACTCACAGGGAAGGAAGGCACTACTCGTAATCCCCTCCACCTAAAAAAGTGGCTCCCCAAATCTTCACCTACTTATCCAACTTGCATTCCCCTTGAAATAAGTGCTGCAGGTGAGCCATGCAGATGGTGCTCTCTGGGCAAAGGGTGCCTCTGCAGAATATGGGGTAAATATTAAAGATCTCAGATGATGACAGCCGAAAAGTCACCTCCTAAAATAAACTCAGCTCAGGAGTAACAAGCTGGGGAAATTTTCATAAACACCATTTTGTCAAAGACATATGCCTAGGAATTTGTTTTTCTTACTTAACTCAGAGGGGGCACTGAAGGTGGTACGTGTGCCCAGTGATATAGGCCAAGAATCCAGAGTAAGATACCTCGCAAACACCTCTACCTCAGTGGTGACATCCTGTTTTGTCAATGTCAGCTGTTCAAGGATGGGGCTGTGTGTTTGCTCATCTCTGCATCCCCAATGCCATGAAGTGCCTGATAAACAAGAGATGGTAAATAAAGCACGTATCCTAGGTTTTCTAAGGTAATGCCAATTTAAATATCCCATTGATTTTGAATGTCAGGTTCAGATCAGAAACATTGATCACCAGAGAGTTAGGTCTAAATCTGGCTGATGGGAATTGCTGGGAATTCTCAGGAGAGAGAGATTTCTCATCAGTAATCACAGTACCACTCGTTTTTCAGAGTCCTTCTTAATCATTGTTTAGCCCTAGTGAAGGTAGGATCACACAGAAATGAAATAGTTCCTAGCAGGGAGGGCAGCAAGAATTTTATAAAACCTAAAATTGGTTTCCAATCTTCATGCTTTAGCAACTTCAGAAGTTTTTATCATCTAAACACATTTCAACAGGCATTTATCAAAGTCTTACCAAGTGCCAGGATCATATTCAATGTTAAAAATACAAAAATTAATAAGAAAATATCCATAGACGTGAAGTAGATGAATTACAACACAAGTTGGATACTGTTTGTATCACATAAGATGTCTTTGGCTGTAAGTAACAGAAAAGAAATAGTGACTAAGACAATAGAAATATTTAGTCATCACACCAATCATGAAAGTCTAGAATAAAATGGTTCCAGGTTGGTTTAGCAGTTCAATGATATTATCAAAAAACTCATGTTCTATCTTTTCACTGTTTTATCCTGGGCATTTTGGTTTATTGCCTCATAGTTACAAAATGGTTGCTGTAGCTCCAAGTGCCATGTTCTCAAACAGTTGCATTCAAGTTAGGAAGGGACTTGCTGTTTCTCTTCATAACAGAAAACAAAAATCTTCTGTGAAGAATTCGTCAACAAATTGCCCCTTTGGTATCATTGGTCAGAAACTGGATCTTGTGTCACTCTTAAGTTAATTGTGGGGCAAGGGGTATGGGATTGCCATGTTTGGCATAAGCCAATTATGCTTCATTCTCTCAGGCTGGGGCAAGGGTTCCATCTTCTTTGAGCATACTGGCACTCTTGAGAAATAGGGATCCTACAACTTAAAAAAAAAGATGGGAGAGGAGACGGTAACTAGTCATGTTTGCCACTGGGTTAAGCACAGAGCTGTGCCAGGTCAATGTATCTATTTTCTCTAATCTGATGACATGTCTTCAGCTCCAAATCCTTTCCCTAGCATAAGGCCAACTGCCCAAGGCTACTAGAAAACCCTGGCCTTTCACTAACACTGCCCTGGCCTTGACCATCCCAGAGCAAGGAGTTAAACTGTCAGACTCTACTTTGGCCCTATCTTTCAGTCTCATGACCTTAAGCTTATGCAATTCTAACCAAGTTTTAAAAACGCAGCTTGTTGAGGTGAGTGGGAGTTTGGAATGCTGGAGGGGAAGGGTGAAAGTCAGGTCAGCAAAGGAGACTGGAAGTAGACTTCCTTCCTTCAACACAGGGCTCCCGTTAGGACTCTGAACTCCAGTGCCTTCTCCTGATTGGGAAGCCCAGGATGGCCCAGCCAGAGGCGTAGCTGAATGTTGTTTGAGAGGAAGAACAAGATTTTTCTCCCTGAAGAGCACTGGGTCCTACCTCAGGATGTACAGAAGAGAGAAATAAAGAGTGGCTTGAGTGTGGACAAGAAACTTAAGAAAGTGATTAGAGGAGATCTCTGTGGAGGATGTGCCTTTGGTCAACACACCCACAGGCACTGGTTTAATAAAGCCACAGTCAATACACTACCACTATATATAATAGCATATGACACAACACTATACAGTACAATATGATATGCAATATGATGGAATATAATGTAATATGAAAAAAAACAAAATACAATACTTTGCAAGCAGTCACTGTAATTTTTTGAACATTCACTGTGGGATGGACATGAAGCAGAGAACTTTCCTTGCATGGTTACTTAAAATCATGTTCACAGTGTAAGTTCCAGTGTTACCCAGCACTTGGCAACTTCCCCAATGCCCCTCTGTTAAATGGTGGACTTAGGACCCCAAGCCCAGGGCTGCCTGACCCAGGGCCCCCACCTCAGTTTACCGCTGCTGTCTGCTTCCAGTTTGTCTTTTCCCACCAGGGTGTTAAGGAATGTTGTGGTGACAAGGCCAGGTGGTGGCAATAGACAAGACACTGAAAGGGTTTACTGAAAAATAGCTCATCTGGGTTCTGCACTGGGAACAAATGTTCGGCTGGCTAGAGAAATAAAAGAAATAACATGTAAGAGTTATTTTAATTCTGCCCAAATGTTCAGAGAACAAAACAGTTACAGGTTTCCCATTCTACTTAGCTCAGGAGAGTAAAGAACAGCAGAGGAGATGCTCTGTCAGTAGGAATTCTATAAACAGATGAACTTCTTTCTGCAGCATAGAATTAATGTGAATTTATGCATGCATTATCAAGGTTTTGCAATCCCCTTGTGCATTTCCACAGTCATTTTCTACCTGGATAGTTTATTTCTTTATCCATTATCTCAGACACTCACTTTATTCTTTCATTCATTCATTCATTTACCAAGTCATTTGTCAGATGTTTACACTCTTGCATGTACTGGATAAGAAGGATAATGAAGGCTTTAAAAAAAAATGCTATCTCCTGCTTTAAATGGGATGGAATTTGAATATGCTCCCAGGAGATGGCAATTTTCCCTTTCAGACCTTTCAGTTCTCCATTATCTGTGAATGGCTGTCTGCTGTGGATTGACTCCTGTTAGTCCTCAGCATGGCCTGACATACTACAGGGAATTGCCTGTTGCTGATTTGGGACTGGGACACTCTGAAGAACAGAGGACATCAATTAGACAGTCCTCTGTCTGTCTGTCTGATTAGAGCAAATCCTGGTTCAGGGACCCTCCTGTGAAGTTCTAAAACATCAATAGTCTATAGGAATTTGAAGACATCAAAGATTCCAGGAACTGATCAGCCTGGCTTGGTGCCTTTAGGATTCCGCAGCACCCCCAACCCCCTCCTGCCACAGAGGGACCCTAAGCTATGGGTAAGGCAACCACATGGGGCAGGGTTCATTCTCCAGTCCCATTCAAGAGCTACCCCCTACAAATGATGGCTGGCAGCCACTTACCTGGTCTGGCCTTTTGGCTTGACTGACAGGTCCTAATGAACCTTTCCAGAGCGTTTCTCTGTACCAAAAACCCAGTGCTAAGCACCATTCTTGGCAGCTCTCAAACTGTCCACATCTCCATTGGACCTCCCTTAGGGCTCCTGTTACAACCATCCCATCCTGTGGAAGTGGTGCACATCGCAAAGATGGCCTATGTCCAAAATGGCTCCCCATAGTGATGGCAAAAGTCTTAAGCAGCTTTCTGTCTGAGGCAGCCTGTCTCCAAAGGGATATCCAATTATGCTGATGCTTCAGAAAGATGTATCTCGCTGTGATGGAAAGGACAGTGGAATGGGACTCAGGACCCCTCCCCACCCCCACCAGCAGAGCCTGGATATTTGCTCCTGCTTGTTTCTATGCCTAGAGTGCCTCCTCTACAGAATACACAGTTCAGACTCAGATGAGGCCTCAGGTCTTGTCAAGCTTGGACAATCTATGACTTTCTGAGTACTTTAGGTGTTATCTGCTTTGGCAATTTGCACTGAGAACCAGACTTCAGAGGCTCAGCAGACCCTGATGTTTGCTCAAGTGGTAAGGGTGCTCAGGTTCCATAGATGGCTTCTGGAGGGCAGCAGGTAGCTGGCATTCTCTGCCTAGTCCCAGAGGGAGATGCAGCACCCACTTTGTAAAAGGGCACTCCGGTCTCTGAGGGAGCAGGTCTGTCTGCCTGGAAGAGGGCCATCTGGGGAGAGGAGCCACACCTGTGAGTGCTAGAGCCCGGGCAGAATTCCCCGGGGCCCGCAATCCTGAGCACCTACGACTGGAGAGAGGGCAACAGCTAGTTTCAGAGGGCAGATTTGGAATCCTTAGTCCTATTTGATCTTAAACACTTGGAAGACAATGGGACCTGCAAATGCAACACCCAGGGACCGTGCAGTGTAGTGGAAAGAGAACTGGCTTCATAATCAGCTGTGGTTTGAGCCTCAGCTCTGCGCTCACTGGCTACGTGACTAGGAGCAGGTCTCTCACCCTGCTGAGTGCAGGTTTCTTGTCTGTCCAATGAGGAGAATTCGGTCTTTCCAGATGACCTCATAGGGCTGGTCTCTGTGGGTTACTTTTCCTCCACACAGTGTACAACCTCCCCAGTAATAGCCATGATCTATGGCAACATTAGGGCAGGATAATGATAATATTAATTTTTGTAGAAAATATAACAATCATTATTACTACAACTAGCAAGCTGTACCAGATGCTCTGCAAAGGACTGTAGAAACTGCTTCATTGCTCAAGTTCATGCGGCCAGTGGTGAATCCTGCCACAGGACCCAGCCCAGACATCTCTGCCCCCATAGCCAAAATCTTAGCCCTGTGCGTGTGGCATTTCTCATGACCGAACAGCTGGATTTATTCATAGTCTGGTTTGCAGAGAGGGAGTGAAATGCACTGGCTTGTCTACTCACACTAGAAAACAAACTAAATCAATGAGTCAAATCCATCAAACAGCCAAATACAGCAACTTTGGATTGTCACATGTTAAAAGACATTTATGGAGCAGAGTTAAATAAATAAGGGTATTGGAAAAAATGTAATCCTATTTTCACTAATAGTTAAGCAACATTGCTTACTGCCTTATAGAAAACTTCTTTCCTTGGGCTTGTCCAGAACGGGCATCCGTCCCCACCATCCATGCCCACCCTATCCATTCTTCCAAGAAATATTTTTCAAGTACTTGCTCTGTGCCACACACCCAACCAGCACTCAGATTTAATGGTGAATGAGGTGTTCCCACCCTCAAGGATCATTCCAGAGAAGGATACTGATACAATTAGACCATGAAAGTCCTTTGATAAGGGTGGGACTGGGTTCTAAGAACAAACAGAAAATAAGAAGCTAATGCTGTCTGAGAGCGTTGGGGAAGCCTTTCCAGCAGAAATGACAGCTCAGTGGGGTGGGAGTCAGACTGGTGGGAAGGAAGGGGTCAAGGACATGGTGGGGAGGAGGGAAAGGGGCAGGCCATTTCCCGAAGTGGAAATACCCTATGCAGTGGCTGGGAGGCAAGATGCACTCAGGGAGCCGAATGAAATTCAGAATGGCTGGAGATAGGGTCCAAGACAGGGGAGGTGAGAGCTGAAAAGGAGGTCCATGTATATCTTGCAAAGGAGTTTGGATTTTATTGCAATCACATTAAGGATTAATTGAAGGGATTCAAGCTGGGGGTTGGGGAGTGAGGTGGATCACAATCTGATTTGTGTGTTTATAAAGATGATTCTGAACACACAGCATGGAGAATAGATTAATGAGCAGCAGGCAAGGAGAGCAGCTAACTGAAGCTGGTACTAGTCAGAGAGTATTCAGAGTAATTCAGCCAAAAAATGATGATGCCCCAGCTTGGGTCCTAGAAGTGGGAATAGAGAGAAGACACCGTGAAGAATACGTAGTGAGTAACATGATTTAGTGAATGAATGGAGATGGGCTGAGGGAGGGCGTGGCATCAGGGGTACTGCACGCCAGCCCCCTTGGTCCCTGCAATGAGGGGTTAATATGTTTTGTACCAGCTTCTTTCTAGTTGAGGTGGACTACCTCTGTGCTCCCAATTTCTGAATCCAACAGATATTGACATCCGTCCTTTCTTCTGTCCATATTTTCTTACATTGTAGCAAGACAATGTGAACTGCTGTATCAAACCCAGAACTTTCAGTGATTTATCACAGAAATTTGTTTCTTGCTCAGCTAAGACTCTTCCCAGGTAAGCCAGTGACTTCTTTCCACATCACATGCAGGTTCAGAAAGCAGGTTTCCTTCTATGGCATAGTTTTTCATTTTCTAGGGCTCCAGTGTTCTTAGCATCTAGTTAGTAAAAAGGAAAAGAGAGTAGAAAAAGTATCTTTCCTGCTTAATAACCTCCTTTGTATGTCCATTAGTGAGAACTTGTCTTATGACAACACCTGGCTGCATAGTTAGACCTCTACATACCTATGTAAGGGGAGAAGCATGATGTTTCACTAGACAGCTAGGGAAATACCCAACAGGCCTGAGTATTGACTCAATTTTCCTTGTCTTTAGCTTCTGTTACTAGGTGACAATTGCTGATCACGGGAACGATAAATATTTTCATTCTGCTTTAGACAATTGATGAAGGATGACACTCTTCTAGCGCACAAACAACAGAGAAAGGACAATTCACAAGCTTTCCATCGCAGGTAGTCCATGATCACTGGGCTGCCATTGACCATAGGGTACCTAATGAGAGATGGGAGATCCGGGTTCAAGACCTGGCTCTGTCAGTAATTTAAAGTACAACCTAAGTCACTTTGCTTCTCTGGACTCCAATTTTCTCATGTCTCTCTAGGCTCCATTTCTCTAAAATGAATGCACTGGGCTACACCAGTGTTTCTCTATAGAACATTAGCTCCATGAAATGCTCTGTGAGAAACTGTTTTCTAGCCAAATAAGCTTGGGAAATACTGCAAATTTTAAATGTCTCCTTGAGGACAGTCAAGGCTCAAGAGCATACTGAAGGCTCTGAGAAATCCTACACTGAGGAACCCTGTTAGGCTTCCTTTAGGTTGACATTTCCTAACCTTCAGAGGTAGAATTTACATACAGCAGTAGTAACCTATGTGATTATTGTTTTACCACTAATCAGTGGGTCTGCCTTGCTCCAAGACTTGGATTCAAGCTTAGCAGAATGAGTTCTCTCAGTAGCCAAGTCTCAATAAGAGAAAAAGAGAGGCTGAGAACCATGGTAAGGAAGTAGGTACCTTCCATGCACAGAGGAGCTATGAGAAGTGGACTCTGTACCAGTCCTTCTCTCATTAGGGGTGTCCCACAAACTACTGGGGACCAACCTATGGGAGTGGAAGTTGACTCTGTACCAGGCCAAAATGTTCCCCTTCCATCATTAGGCATTAACTTTTTAAAAAAGTTACTACTACTTAATGTCTTGTTCTAGACCTATTCAGATTTTCTGTTGCTTCTTGAGTCACTTTTAGTAGTTTGTCTTTCTAGGAATTTGTTCATTTTTTTCTAGATCATCTCATTTGTTGACATACAATTGTAATGTCCATAGTGTGTCCTTTTAGTCTTCTTATTTCTATAAGGTCAGTAGTTATGTCCCCTTTTTCATCCTGATATTGATAATGTGAGTTTTCTCTTTTTGTGTGTGTGTGAGTTTACCTAAAGGTTGATTTTTTCCAAAGAATTGTTTGGATTTTTAAAATTTCCTCTATTGCTCAGTTTATTAATTTTACTTTAATATTTTTTTCTTTCTTTTTGCTTGTTTTAGAGTTAATGTGCTCTTCTTTTTCTAGTTTCTTAAAGTGGAATGTTAGGTGATTGATAAGAGATTTTTCCTTTTTTTTTAATACAGGCTATACATTTCCCTCTAAGCTTGTCATAAGTTATCTTTATCTGAATATCATAACTTTTGCTATATTATATCTTAATTTTCATTCATTTCAAACTTTTCTCCAATTTTCCTCTTGGCTTCTTTGACCTACTGGATGTTTAGGAGTGGGTTAATATCAACACATTTGTGAATTCCCCAAATTTCTTTCTGCTACTTCTAAGTTCATTCCATCATGGATATCATCATTTGTATGGTTTAAATTCCTTTAAATTTACTGAGATTTGTTTTACTGTTTAACATATGGACCGCTGTGGAGAAGTCCCACGTGCACTTGTGAAGAATGTATATTGTGCAGTTGTTAGGCCTCATTGGTTCATGGTGTTGTTCAACCTTTCTATTTGTTCTTTTGCCTATTTATTTTATTGAAATTACAGTATTAAAGTCTCTAATGATTGTTGGTTATCTATTTCTTCTTTCATTTTCTTCACTTTTTGCTTCAGATGTTTTAGATTCTGCTTTTGGACTCAGTATTTTTTTTTAATTAAGGTATCATTGATATACAATCTTATTAAGGTTTCACATGAGCAACATGGTAGACACATGTATTTTTATAATTACTCTATCCTCCTGATGAATTGATCTTTTTGTTTTAATAAAAATGTCTTTATTTTTGTTAACTTATTTTTGTTTTAAAGTCTGCTTTGCCTACCATTATGGCAGTATGGTCACCCCAGCTTTTTTATGGTTGCTGTTTATAGGGTACATCTTTTCCCATCCTTTTGTTTACAGTCTATCTGTATCTTTGAATCTAAAGTGTGTCTCTTTTAAATGACATATAATTGGGTCTTGTGTTGTTATTCAGTCTGGCAATCTCTGTTTTTTGTTTGGAATGTTTAATCCATTCACATTGGGTGTTACTATACATGTAGTTAGATTTACATTTTCCCTTTTACTTTTTGTTTTATTTATATGCATTAATTCTCTAGGGTTGCCATAACAAAGTAGGAAGACAGGGCAACAGAACAACAGTTATTCACTGTCTCACAGTTCTGTAGGCTGGAAGTCTGAGATCAAGGTGTGAGCAGGGCTGGCTCCTCCTGAGAGCTGTGGGGAAGGATGCGGCCAGGCCTCTGTCCTTGGATTGAAGATGGCCATCTCCTTTCGTCTGTTCATGTGGTCTTCCCTCTGTCTGTGTCTGTATCCAAATTTCCTCTTCTTATAAGGACACTAGTTGGATTGGATTAGGGTCCACATTAATGACCTTATTTTAATTTGATTACTTCTGTAAAGGCCCTATTTCCAAATAAAGTAACATTCTGAAATACTGGGGGTCAGGACTTCAATATATGAATTTGGGTGAGGGGACACAATTTAACCCATAACAATATTTTGTTCCTCTATTCTACTTCTTTCTTTTGTACAATGAATATTTTCTCTATTTTTTATTAAGGTATTATTGATATAAACTCTTAGGAAGGTTTCACAAGAAAAACAATCTGGTTACTACATTCACCCATATTATTGAGTCCCCCCCATACCCCATTGCAGTCACTGTCCGTCAGTGTAATAAGATGCCACAGATTCACTGTGTGCCTTCTCTGTACTACACTGTCTTCCCCATGATTCCTATCACACCATGTGTACTAATCATAATACCTCTCAGTCCCCTTCTCCCTCCCTCCCCACCTGTCCTCCCCTTTGGTAACTGCTAGCCCCTTTTTGGAGTCTGTGAGTCTGTTGCTGTTTGGTTCCTTCAGTTATGCTTCGTTATTATACTCCACAAAAGAGGGAAATCATTTGGTACTTGTCTTTCTTTGCCTGGCTTATTTCACTGAGCATAATACCCTTCAGCTCCATCCATGTTGTTGCAAATGGTAGGATTTGTTTCTTTCTTATGGCCGAATAGTATTCCATTTTGTATATGTACCACATCTTCTTTATCCTGCACAATGAATATTTTCTAACATAACATTTCACTATATATATTTTTTAGTTATTGTCTTAGTAATTGCTCTAGGGATTACCATATGCATCTTAGTTTTCATACTCGACTTCAGATTTACACTAACTTAATTCCACTAAAATGGAGAAAAATTGCTCCTATATAGTGGTGGTGTTTCTTTTCCCTTTCTGTGCTATCATTGTTATGCATATCACATCTGTATTACCAACCCAAAGTGCAGTGTTATAATTTATTACTTTATATAATTCTGTGTCTTTTAAAGCATCTGAGAGAGGAAAGGAGAACAAACATATATTTATGGAGTTTGTTATATTAACTATCTTATTTGCCATTTCTTGCTCTCATTTGTTGCTGTGGTTTTTAGTTAGCATATGGTGTTATATCCTTACACCAGTATAGCTTTGTTCACACCCATCTTTTTGGTAATCAAATATAGTCTTTCTATGTTATAGGCCCCAAAATACAATTATATATATACATAGAAAGACACACACACATAGATATACACACACACACATACGTACACACAGATACACAGCTCCTTTTTTAAATGAGAGAGAAAAATATGCATTTATACTAACTTTATAACTGCATAATTACCTCTATCAGTACTTTGTTTTTTCACATAGATTTAAATTGTTATCTGTGGTCACTTCTTTCAGTTGGAAGAACTTCCTTTAGTATTTCTTGTAAAATACTCTGATAGCAATACATTCTCTCAGTTTATTTATCTGGGAATATCTTGATTTTGCCTTTGTTTTTAAAAAATTAATTATTTTGCTGAATGTAAGTGTCTTGGTCAACTTCTTTTATTTTATTTTTTTAATTTCAGCACTTTGACTATATCATCCCATTGCCTTCCTGGCTTGTTTCTGGTGAGATGTCAGCAGGTAATCTTTGGGGTTCCCTTGTACTAGATGAGTCCCTTTTCTTGCTGCTTTTAAAATCTTCTCTCTTTGTCTTTAAACATTTCAGTTGGGAAGCATCTGGGTGTGGATCTCTTGGCATTTACCCTAGGTGGACTATGTTGAGCTTCATGGATGTATGGGTAACTGTTTTTCAACAAATTTGGGGGATTTTCAGCCATATTTCATTGAATAATTTTTTCTGCTCCCTTTTCTCCCCTCTCATTCTGGTCCCATTATGCATATGTTGATATTCTTAATGATGTTCCACATTTCTCTGAGGCACTGTTAATTTTTCTTTATTTTTTTATAACTATTTAGATTGTGTTACCTGAATCAAACTATCTTCAAGGTCATTATCTTTTTCTCCTTCCAGTTAAAATCTTGGTTGAGTCCCTTTAGTGAAGTTTTCATTTTAGTTACAGTATTTTCAACTTCAGAATTTCCATTTGGTTCATTTTTATAATTTTTATCTATTATTATTCCCTATTTGATGATACATTATCATCATAGTTTCCTTTACTATTTAAAGCATGGTTTCCATTAGTTCTTCAAAGATATTATAATGGCTGCTGTGAAGTTGTTAAGTCTGACGTCTGGGTCCTCATCCCCCTGTATTGGTCACATTGTC